TGTCAACGTAATCCACCATATAAACAAGCTGAAAAATAAAAACCACATGATCATCTCATTAGATGCCGAAAAAGCTTTTGAAAAATACAACATCCCTTCATGATAAAGGTCTTGGAGAGAGTAGGGATACAAGGAACATGCCTAAACATAATAAAGGCAATATACAGCAAGCCAACAGCCAACATCAAACTAAATGGAAACTCCCAGTGATTCCACTGAAATCAGGAACAAGACAAGGTTGTCCACTCTCTCCATATCTATTTGATATAGCTCTTGAGGTCCTAGCTAGAGCAATAAGACACCAAAAGGAGATCAAGGGGATACAAATAAGAAAAGAAGTAGTCAAACTCTCAGTGTTTGCTGATGATATGATAGTTTACATAAGTGGTCCCCAAAATTCTACCAAGAAACTTCTACAACTTATAAACACTTTCAGTAATGTAGCAGGATACAAGATTAACTAAAAAAAAAAAAATCAGTAGCCCTCTGTACACAGATGATAAAATGGCTGGGGAAGAAATCAGAGAATCAACACCCTTGACAATGGCCACAAATAGCACAAAATATCTTGGAGTAATTCTAACCAAACAAGTGGTAGACTTGTATGACAAAAACTTTAAATCTTTGAAGAAAGAAACTGAAGAAGACACCAGAAAGTGGAAAGATCTCCCATGCTCTTGGATAGGCAGAATTAACATAGTAAAAATGGCAGTCTTACCAAAAGCAATCTACTGATTCAATGCAATGCCCATCAAAATCTCAGCAAAATTCTTCATGGGCCTCGAAAGATCAATAATCAACTTCAGATGAAAAAGCAAAAAATCCAGGATAGCCAAAACATTCCTGTACAACAAAAGAACTTCTGGAGGCATTACAATCCCTGACTTCAAACTCTACTACAGAGCTACAGTACTGAAAAAAGTCTGGTATTGGCATAAGAACAGACATGAGGACTAATGGAATCGAATAGAAGACCCGCATATCAATCCGCACATCTTCGAACACCTGATTTTTGACAAAAAGCAAACAATATCAAATGGAAAAAAGAAAACACATTTAACAAGTGGTGCTGGCATAACTGGATATCAACATGTAGAAGAATGAAAATAGACCCATATCTATCGCCATGCACAAAACTCAAGTCCCAATGGATCAAAGACCTCAACATAAAGCCAGCCACACTGAACCTTATAGAAGAGAAAGTGGGAAATATACTTGAACGCATTGGCACAGGAGACCACTTCCTAAACAGAACCCTAGCAGCACAGACACTGAGAGAAACAATTAATAAATGGGACCTCCTGAAACTGAAAAGCTTCTGTAAAGCAAAGGACACGGTCAACAAGACAAAACGACAGCCTGCAGAATAGGAAAAGATCTTCACTAACCCCACATCAGACAGAAGTCTGATCTTCAAAATATATAAAGAATTCAAGAAATTGGTCACCAAAAGAACACATAATTCAGTTAAAAAAAATGGAGTACAGACCTAAACAGAGAACTCTCAACAGAAAAATCTAAAATGGCTAAAAGACACTTAAGGAAATGTTCAACATCCTTAAGTCATCAGAGAAATGCAAATCAAAACAACTCTGAGATTCCATCTTACACCTGTAAGAATGGCCAAGATCAAGAATACTGATGACAACTTATGCTGGAGAGGTTGTGGGGAAAAGGTAACACCTCTGCAAGCTGGTACAGCCCCTTTGGATATCAGTGTAGTGATTTCTTAGAAAATTAGAAAACAACCTTCCTCAAGACCCAGTAATACCACTTTTGGGTATATATCCAAAGGATGCTCAATCATGCCACAAGGACATGTGCTCAGCTATGTTCATAGCTGCTGTGTTTGTAATAGCCAGAACCTGGAAACAACCTAAATGCCCCTTGATTGAAGAATGGATAAGGAAAATGTGGTAATTTACACAATGGAGTACTACATAACAGAAAAAAATCTTGACATCTTGAATTTTGCAGGAAAATGGATGGAGCTAGAAAACATTATTTTGAGTAAGGTAACCCAGACACAGAAAGACAATTATCACATGTATTCACTCATAGGTGGTTTTAAAACATAAAGCAAAGAAAGCCAGCCTACAAACCACAATCCCAGAGAACTTAGACAATGAGGACACTAAGAGAGACTTACATAGATCTAATCTATATCAGAAGTAGAAAGTAGAAAAAGACAAATAGAAGAAGGAGAAGGAGGAGAAGGAGGAGAAGGAGGAGGAGGAGGAGGAGGAGGAGAAGGAGGAGAAGGAGGAGAAGGAGAAGAAGAAGAAGAAGAAGAAGAAGAAGAAGAAGAAGAAGAAGAAGAAGAAAACTGTAAGTCCTTATCTGTTAGAGAGGGCTGGAAAAGCCATAAGAATTAATGTGTGCTGGATGCAGGCACACTGTAAAAGGAAAGAAAGATGGGGTAGATGACACAAGCTCAGTCATGGTAAGGTTGCGAGCAGGAGGTTGGTGAGCCAGAATGCTGGTCCCCTAAAGTCACTTTCCTTCTTGCTCTCCCCTTACTCAGTAGACATAGCCTACCCTGAAAACAGCTCTCAACCTCTGCCCCATGCCAGCCTCCTATTCAGGAGAGCAAAGGGAAGCTTGGATTAGGGCAGAGCCAATGCACCTTTCCAGGGTATGAGCACACCTTTGCTGTCCTTGGTGGAAGCAAGCATACCTTTAGTATGGAACCTGCCATGCAGGACCAAAGACTCAGGACTTGTCAGCAGACTCTTGCTGCTGCTGCTAGAGATCTCCAAGGCTGTGTTTCCTATCAGAGCAACAAGGTCAATAAATACTCGTTATGTCACACTTGTTGCTGTGCAGAGTCGGCATTTCCTTAAACCTACCAGACCTTATCATGGGATATAAAAGTGCACCAATACCAAACCTCTCTCCTAGCTTTTCACCTTGTCATGAAGACAGAAACTTCAATCACTCAGCTATCATTCAACCACTCCAGGGTCAGCTTTATAGCAATCTTTCGTGTACTTTGAAGTATGATGATCTTCAATATTGCAATCACCAAAATAATTTTAAACAAACAAACAACAACAGAAGCCAGACAACAACATGGTAGCACCAGGTTTAAAAACCCTCTTATTCTGAGTTTTTTGAATGTCATTTTCTTTAGCAAAAGACATAATTTGCAGTCAGGATGAATAAAGTGAGCCAGCCATTTCTTTCTTAATGGCCAACTACCCAAAAAGGCTCAGTTAAGTGATCTCAACTAGCAACTAATCAATTAAAATTGATAAGTGAAATACTTTTAACCTTTATTTCAGCAGGGTCCTTCCTTGGGGAAGGAGCAAAGGAATGTAAATTCCCAGCATAAATTTAATTCCATTTCACAGATACAACATTGTGAGGGGAGACTTCTCCCTCTCTGCATGGATCAAGTCAGAGAAAGATGGGTCCTTAATCAAATCTAGCCTTATAGAAATCACTGTTGCTGCTTTTCAGAGTAAAGGGTCAAAGGAGACAGGCAAATTTCTTTATTTCTCTAACACATGGGGAGATGAAAGCACAAACAAGAGAAATGCCAGGAAAAGAAAAAAGAACCAGTGAGGTCCTCTTCCACCTACATCCTGGTCACTCAGTCAGAGGTACCCACATGCTGGGCATCCTGGTGCTCTACAGGAGGTAGAAGCTCTCCAGTGTGCTGAACCACTAGCTTCTCAGATTAGCGTTAGGTTGTGGCTGTGGCTTCCAAGGCATCTCTCAACCAGTCACCAAAGCAAAACTCGCCATCTCTCTACCTTTTTCCTTCTCAAGTAGTAAGAACGGAAGCTGGAGCCTTGTGTAGCAAGGCTTTCCAAGAGTCCTATACCTGTAACCACTCCCATTTCCCCCCCTGAGATGGGGTTTCTCTGTGTGGCCCTTGCTGTCTTAGAACTTGCTCTGCAGACCACGGGTGGGGGTGGGGTGAGGATCTTGAACTCAGAGATCTGCTGCCTGCCAAGTGTTGGGACTAAAGGCATGTGCCAAAATGCACAGCAACCATCCCCATTTTACAGCAGGAAAAACAGAGGCTGTGGTAGAGGAGAAAGAGTAAGGCAGAGCTGGCTTGAAAGCTAACACTCAATGGTTTAGCCATGTGAAACCAGCTCACATGACTAAAACTCACTGCACTATATACACTGAAGGTTGGAGGAATTTATTTTATATAAATCATGCATCAGAAAAGATGTTTTGAATAGTCGGACTACAGAATGGCACCTGCTTCTTCTCTTTGCCTACTCTATGCCTCTTCTTTGAGAGTATCCTCTTTGGTCTCCTTCCTCATACTTAGGATTCAGAATTAACCCTGTGTCTTTAGCAGAGGCTCCTGATAGTTCATTGACCATTGTGTGTGGTTTGAAGAAAGCCCACTGTCCAATCTGGGCCACTGAGAGCTGTGTAAGAAAGCAGACGGAGCAAGTCATGAGGAACAAACAAGCAATAAACAGTATTCCTCCATGGCTTCTGCTTCAGTTCCGGCCTTGAGTTCCTGCCCTGACTTCCTTCAATGATAAACTGTGATGTAGTAATAACCGAAGTTATTATTGGTCATCATGTTTTATTACAGCAATAGAAACTCTCACTAAGACAATGGTCAATACAGTTTAAGGTTATGGGCTAAGCACATATCTTTCTGATTTGCAAAGTCCCCATTCTTACCTAAATACTGGTGACTTGTTTGGGGGTTTGTTGTGTCTTTTCATTTTGATAGTTTGATTTTTACAGACTTCCTTTTGGCATCAAGAGATTCCTTGTTCTACTGGACTCAGACAAAAGCCCTTTAAATCCACAATACTAGAAAGGCCAGTGCTGTCCTCATCCTGTCAATGAGGGCCTACTCTCACTGGACCTCCTATTGTCTAGCACTAACCTTTCAGCAGGGTCAGTGGCAGGCAGTACAGACTGCATGCTGTGCATACTCCCACCCCTGCTGCAGATGATCAGTAGAGTAGTGTCCTGTACCCCCTGGCCCACGGGGCAACACAAGATGGCCAACTCACTCAGATCCAAGACATCATCTGTTTTGATCAGGTCCTCCTCCCGAGTCAGTGGCAATTGGGTCTCAGGTTCCCCACGCAGCTGCAGTGACAGGGAACGCAGCATGAAGAATACCCGGATGGCCTGGATAGAGCAGACAAAGAGGAGAGTAGGGTTCCAGGAGTGTTCTGGAGAGGTGCACTGAATGAAGGCATTTCATGGTGACTCTTGGTTAATGGGAAAAAAGGAGGGGGCAAAACATGGGCCAGCCTTGAAGTACAGTGGCCTGGAAAGAGTAAGAGGACACTTTAGGCTTGGGGAGCAGCCTACTTCAGTACACAATAGGTGAAGGCCCAGGCCACTTTACTAGGCACCTGCCATTTGCCAGGATCTGTCCCCAAGGGTTGTATGACCTTTAACACACATCTTCTGCCTGCTGGCTTGCCCATTCCATAGTCAGAAAATAGCTAAGACTCAGGGAGGTGAGGAGTGCTGCCCGAGACAGTGCTTCAAGGAAGGGCTACCACCTCCGTGCTTCTCCATCTGAGCTAGTGGGGCTGGGAGACAGAAATCACCAGGATGTGTGCCAGTCCAATCTAGTAAATATGGGCACAGGACAAGAGAGTAACATGCATGTAAGCTTTAGATTTGGCTAGACTCACTGAAAGTCCAACTCCCATCTTAAGTCTTCCACCTCTTGGGCCTGGGCCTTAGGAGGAGGAGAGTGACAGAGACAGGAGAGTAAGGCCTGATACCTGGCCAAATGGATAGCAATGTCCTCAGGACCCCTCAGGCTTTCCCAGTTCATCTCAGGGGCAGAGAATGCTTGTCAGCACAAGCATCCCTGTCCCATGGAAAAGGAGTCTGTCAGCATCCAGTATGGCTGCCAGGCATGTCCTGAGAGCAGAGAAAAGGCCATGTCACCAGCTGCCAGTGACATCTGTGCAGAAGCAGCCCTTAGCCCCAGAATCACACTAGCCACTAACCAGAGATCCCAGAAGCACAGGGCAAGCCACAGGTCAGGGTACCCCTTGTCCCAGGTTTCTCCCTGACATGGAATGGTGGGCTTCTTTGGGACACAGCTCCAGAGCAAACAGACAAGGTCAGCAGTGCCCCCTACTCTACTGTGGTGGATAAGACACAGTAATCCCTAACTCTTTGGCTATGTTACCACCCTGAGACAAGGCTGGAGGGCACAGTCAGCACAGACTTGCAGAAAGGGGTTGCCTTCAGACCCTTGGTAGATACCACTATCTACATAAAGGAGTGTCAGGGCAAACCATTGTGGCTTCACGCAGGTGAATTCCTGCTTGTGGTAAAGGTGGTGACAGTCCTGTGTTAAATAAAGGGAGAATACCCTTTATTTGCAGGGAACTTTCAATAAAAGGGAGGGGACAAAGTCTCGCCTTCAAGCATCTGGAGAGGCATTGCATCCTGGTGGTCCATGCAGTGAGTATCTTTGATTAGCTACCAATGCCCCAATCCTGCCTTAAGGCAGGATATTTGTGTAGAAATTCTGAAAGTCCTGCGTAGTCCTGGCCTCATCTTAAGAAACACAGCCTTTAGAGTTTTAGAGTGGCGTGCAGGATAAAGAAGTTCCCCACCATGCTGGTGGGGGTGCATAAGAATCTAATCTAAATGTTCTTAGCAGATTTTCAAGTCTAGTCTTCATAGAGACATCTGCATCAACTGGGAGAGACAGAGATGTGGTTCTATTAAAAAAAAATCAAGAGCTCCTATCTAGTAAGCACCTACTATGTGCTGGGCTTTTGGGGTTATGTATCATAAATTTAGGACTACAGGAGCAAGAATGGGTGCTGAGAGGGCAGAGTAAGCTTCGCCCACTTGCTAAGAGGTTGAACCGAGCCTCTGTAATGTCAGGCACATATGACATAGCGTAGTCCCATTCCTGTGCCAGCCCAGAGCAGATGGTAATAAAATGTGAAGGGAGTAAGTGAGTGCCACTGGGATTATCTGACAGTGTGAGCTCTCAAGTAAGTAGTTACAATTTAGGGATGAGGAGAAAGAAGGGGCCTACTGTAGGCATGTCCCCGTCATGGGCAAGATTTATGACTGTGTCAAGTACATTGCACAGGGTTCTGATGGCAAAGACTCCTAGCAAGGCCATGGTTAAGATGGGGAAACAGAAACCCATGCTGTTTTCTGTAGCCTATCCCTTGAAAGACCGAGGTTTTCAAAGGAATCAATGAGTTGGGAATTTGGCTCTCAATGTAGGCCTTTTGGTAAAACATGTGTCTTTGCTCTACAAATATTGAATGGTGATATTCTCAGGAATACAAATAAAAAATAAAGCCATTTAAAATATAAAATAAAATATAAAATACCATTTCAAATAGCAATTTTCAAGGGAAAAGCACACACACGAGAAGTCCATGTCCAATGACAAAAGAGGTGAGTCTTACAGGGCAAGGTGCTCCTCACTGCAAAAGTGGGCTCCCAAGATGGCTGCACACACAGGCTGGCAGGCATGCTGTCCTGCTCCATGGTCCCTTCCTGCCAGTACCCTGCAGACATTAACAGCTCCCTCTCACCACTCACAGCCATTGAGCATTGTGGGGGGCCAAGAGCATCACCTCATTTGCTCCCCCTTTTTACTGAGACAAGGTCTCTCTATGTAGCCCTGGAACTTACTCTGTAGACCAGGCTGGCCTTGAACTCACAGAGATTCATCTGCCTGTGTCACTTGAGTGCAGGGGTTAAGGGTGTGCACCACCATGCCCAGCCTATCATTTGAGCTTCTTAATGACCCTGGTGGCTCCTATCTGACAGAGAAACTGGAGCCCAGGGCTGTTAGACTGGCTGCTCAGGGGAGCTCCAAGCCTGTGTTCTTCTGACTACATTTCTTGATCTTAAAAAGATTCAGGGCTTGGGACCTGGATTTCTATCAAGTGATCTTCTTTTCTTTGCTAAATCAAGACACAAAATTTTAAAGTCATAACCAAAAACAGTAAGAAATGATTACTGTTTCAGATCCTGGAAGGCAGAAGATCAAATTTCAAAAGGGAAGGCAGTTGACCGAGTTCTAATGTGAAGAAGAAACTTCCATTTCTTAGCTTCTGTGAATCTGGAAGCTAACCTTAGTCATATTCAGTATTTGGAGAACCAGGCTTTGGAGGGGAAGGTCTGGAGTCAGAAGGATCTCAGCTCCAAGTGGGGCTGAGTGAGCATAGGAATTCCCTAAGGCTAGAGCTCTGGGGAGAGGCGCATGAGTCCCCAGTGAGGGTGCAGCATGGCACAAGTGGTAGTCTGAGCCTTGGGCTGGCCCTGGGACAGGCGCTCAGTTCACCTCTGCTGGCTTCCTTGCCACATTTGCAAGCTGCTGGGGTTAGGAGACAGTCATTCAGGTTAGAAGCCCACCAGGGCCACAGAAACAGCTGTGGAAGTCAGTCATCCTGAACAAGATTGAAGCAGGGTGATGTGGGCCCAGCCCAGAGGGAAAGCAAGTGGTGATGTTAGAGATGTACAAAAAACATCCATACCCTTTGAACCAGAAATTCTGCTTCTGGGAACTTCTCCTAAAGAAATAATTCAAAAGAAAGAAAACACTGTGTTTATGAAGTAGCTCTTATAGTTTAGCTGAAAAAAAGTAGAACATAGCGGAAGTACCCCACTCTGGCTAATGGGAAGACACCCCAGGAACGGGGCGAAGTCTCCTGGGAAATCTTTATATAGTTCTGAGGAGTCACTTACAAAACCATCAGACAGGTAAGGCAGAGGAAGGAGAGTCAGAAGTTTAAGGTTATCCTTGGCTATAAAGTGAGCTCAAGGACAGCCTGAGCTATGTGAGACCTGTCTACAAAATAAACAACGGAAAAAAAATCCTCCTTTGTGGGCCGGAGGTGATGTCACTGGTAGCATGCACGAGGCTCTGAGACTCATATCCAGAGCTTCAAAAACACCACTACGATAGGAGAACTTGCACTATAACAGAGGAGGGAGAAACAGATGGTGAGCGTGAGACTGAGAAGAGACACCCTGTGCCAGTGTAAGAGGATGAGTTTGTAGACAAAGAAAGGAGGAGAAGCAAAAAAATGTCTGCAAATGTTGAAATTATGGAAAAAATTTCCTTCCTGCAAATGTTGAGACGTGCCTGAACTTTCTTCAGTGTGTAACACATAGCCAAAGAATGAAGCAGAAGTGTCCCATTTCCTCGAGGTCAATAGTGACAAACACAAAAACTGCTGTTCTTTACAGGAAACAGAATAAGGGGAACACATCTAAAATCCCAGGTATCTGGGAGGCTGAAGTAGGAGGATCGTAAATTTGGAGACACTGTCTAAACAAAGTTTAGACAGCAGGCAGAACACTCACTGAGCATGTCCACTGCCCTCAGGCAGAACACTCACTGAGCGTGTCCACTGCCCTCAGGCAGAACACTCACTGAGCATGTCCACTGCCCTCAGGCAGAACACTCACTGAGCGTGTCCACTGCCCTCAGGCAGAACACTCACTGAGCATGTCCACTGCCCTCAGGCAGAACACTCACTGAGCATGTCCACTGCCCTCAGGCAGAACACTCACTGAGCGTGTCCACTGCCCTCAGGCAGAACACTCACTGAGCGTGTCCACTGCCCTCAGGCAGAACACTCACTGAGCGTGTCCACTGCCCTGGTTCCGTCCCTGGTACAAAAACAAAACTTCAGCACAAGGACCTCTGCTTCATACTGGCTTCCCAGACAGTATATGAAGATGGCTACTGCTTCAATTCAGATTTTAATGTCTGCCACAGCCCCTGCTGGCTCTTTTCCTCTGGACGAGTTTAGCAGGGACTGTGAGTAAAGCCCTCTTGGTCATCAAAGACACCAGCACACTCCACTGTTGTTCCACCAATGCCCTCTCAGTGTTTATTCTGCCAGAAACTCTATAGCCATCGAGTCAGCTATTTCAGACAAAAGCTGAGGGGGGCACAGGAGAACTTTAGGCTCAGGGAAGTTAAGTAATGCTCCCAAGGTCACACAGAATAGGGCTTAACCTCTGTGGGCCTGACTCATGAACCTGTAGTTTTTCTTAGCCACTTCTTCCAACTGCCCCTACATGAGTGGGAATAGCCCAAATTTCAAGTTTCGATTCATTCATTTTCCCTGGGCTCTAAGAATTCTGATGACTTTTATTTCAGCATGGCTGGCATGACTCAGGGGCACTTTTGGTATTTTTGGTCTTATACTAAAAAAAAAAATGTATTGTGTGCACTTGTGGAGATCAGAGGACAGCTTGCAGGAGTCTGTGGTTTGCTTAGGGGACTGGGAATGTGTGTTGCTTAAAGATACAAGGTCCCCACTTCCTCTGCTGCCCCTGAGCATGTGATTAAAAGTACCAGCAGGGTGAAGGAGGTTGCAGAGGCCTCTTGTCTGAGGCACACCCCACTTAATGTGCTTCCTGAAATTCTGAAGTGAAACCCCTCTGATGCTCTGGCCACAAGCAGACCAAGGAAGAAGATGTGGTAGTCATCTGGATGCCTCTAAATGATCTATTCACAGTCACGTCTCCAGGGAATGATTTTCTAGGAAAAGGCAGTGTTGCTTTCTAAGAAAGAAACTGAGATCTTACGCAGGAGATAAAATACTGTGAAGAGCCCGACTGAGGCTGCTTCCTAGAGTGGCCACCTCAGAAAAAAGTGCTGATAAGGGGATCACCCTCTGCTGCTTCTGAGAACTTGGCTCTGCAAACACGTTCTCCTGCCTCCTGGCCAGCATCATGTTCTCACTACCAGACACCTTGCTAGTATACTGCCTGGGGTTCTAAGACCTTGAAGTCGAGGTTCACACCCACCTCCCCTATACTGGGTGTTCTAGGTTCTGCTCCGCTATACTTCAAAGAAACTTGGTGTGGCTTCCACTCAGGGTTTTAGCTACACTCTGCCCTGGTGCAGGTAGTCTGACAGCTGTCCAGAGGTGCCAGTGGCCACAGAATCCCAATCTCCTATTTCCAGGCAACAGGCTTTGGAAAGCCATGTGTGGTAGTAGGTGTGTGTGAGGGGGTATTCCCTACAGGTGACTAGACACATACTGGAGGCAGTCTTTAACTGACCTAGAGACCCTTTCCCTATGACCCAGGAGAGGCCAGATCACACTTACCCTCCGCGTCTTCTCCACATCACCACATGGCAGCCGCTTCACAAAATCAATGCCAGTCAGTGGAGTGCCCGTTGGGGGCAGGAGGATAGAAGCATCCATCATGAGATATTCCACATTCATGGGCTTTATCTAGGAGAGACAGACATCACAGGAAGCCTCAGAGAAGGGCCTACCTGTAGGCCTGGGTTAGACTGAAACTATGCTTCCAGTTTGCAGGCCTTTTTCCTTCTCCCAAGTTTTGGCTTTTCCCTTCATTTCAGCTAGGGGGCCTCAAGGCCACACAGTGCTGGCCTTCCTTTGTAGGACACATTAAACATGGTCGTCTAGAGGCCTGAGCCCCTTTCTCATAATCCCTGTATTTCAGAGCAGGATGGCAGAGTCATGTTCCCACTCCAGGCTGCTCTTGGCATTGGCTTTCCAGCAGGGCCTTCTCACAGTACCCATTGGCTGAAACTGCAGAACCTCTCCAGAAAATTCCCTCCATTCTGCTACAGGGGTGGAAGACAGCAGTGAGCCCCAGGGCCCATTATCCCTTTAGCCATAACCCTGAGTTGCTAAGGGATATGAGAAGAGTCCGACTTGGAGGTCTAGTTGCAGCCTGCCTCCTCCAAGTCCAAGAGCAGCGTTCAGGACAACTTCACTTTAGTTAGCTCAGCCACCAATATCTTTGGGGCAGCTAAGGACTGACTTCACTTGCAGAGACTGGGGTGTGTCACCTTAGTATTTCTGGAGAATGTCAAGTATTGTGCAGCGGAACATACTATAAACACTGGAATAAAATAAGCAAACCTCAGAAAGCTTCCTGAGTGGGGTGGGGTGAGGAGAGGAGAGGAGAACACATGTTTTGCTTATGGGCTTTGCACAAGGCCTCCTGCTGGGTATTTCACATCTGGCTGGGGCAACTCAGAAGTGTGGGCCCCACTGCACAAATGATAGCCAGGCTCAAAATGTAAGTAACCTGCCCAAGGCCACAGAGTTAAGAAGCAATAAAAGAAACATAACAGGGGCCAGAGTTCTGACTTTTCCAAATCATAAATAACATGTAGAATTTACATTTCCAAGGTGCAAAGGGTACTAAGGATGACCAGACTAGCGAGGGGAAAATGAATACCCATAGGGATTGCCTACCTGGAACTGATGGTCTGAAGGGGAAAAGTCTGAGCTGCCCTAAGCATGGCAACAGGGGTTGTGTGGGCCAGTAAGGAGGTATGACTTTGAAAAGGTCCATTCATGTCTCAGGGGTGTAGTGTATAAAGATGTGGTGAAGGCCATGCTGCCAGAGCCCTGGAGACAGGCTTGGAAGCCAGGGAGCCACTTAGCTGTGCTGCCTGCCTTTTTTTTTTCTGACACTTTAAACACTTTGGTTCATTATAAATGTCCCCATCACTTCATGCTTTGGTGAGTTATGTCCATGAAAAAGCTCACTTATCATCTATTTATCTAGTGCTACTTGGGGGCTGATTCTGGAAATGCAGAAAGATGAAATAGAAAGTGTCATCGCCACAGTCTGTCCTCTGTGCTCCAGGGAGAGGCAGGGAGCAGCAGAGAGAACCACTCCGCCATGGAAGCCTGGCTCTGCCACCAGCAGGCTGGATAGACTTAGAGACATTACTCAGCCTCTCTGACTCCCATTTTCCTCATCTGCACAAAGGAGATAATGGCAACAGCTCTTTCAATAGGTAAAGACTCTGCACTGAAGTTCCAGGGAGACAGAGAGAGAGAGAGAGAGAGAGAGAGAACACAAATCCATTTTTTTTTGAAAGAGCAATTCATTGCTGAACACTCTACAAACCAGATTGCTTAGAGCTTCTTGGCCATGGAGAACTGGAACATTGCAGACTTAGAGCCATGTATCTTTAGCTTTCTTAATAGCTTGTTCCTTGCTCACCTCTGTCTGACCACACATCCTTATGACTACCAGGTGAAACTTTTTGGGATGTGTTAATCTAACACACCATTAGCTAGCTTCTGCTAACCTCAAAGCTAAGGATGCCATCACATAGCATTTGAGACCTATAGTAGAAGCTTCCCGCACTTTGCTGTAACCTGTCACCTGATGTTCACATTGATGTATTTGAAAAGTGCTTGGATTTAGGATTTCGTTTTGTGACTGAGTTCCTTGTCAAGATATGTTTAGGGCAACCTGGGTACTGGACACAGTCACTTATATTTAGCTCTAAAATAAACTCTCACTTATTCTCTTTAAGGTGAGAACTGCGATTTGTGTCAGATTTAGTTATACAACATGTTCTTCATCCTAGCAGGAATCAGTCTTCATTAAAAGGACACCTCTCTTTGACTGGTACCCAGGTGACCCTAACCACCTTACAGACACAATGCTGTTGCCTCCTGCAGCATTGGAGCAGCACCAAGGGCCTGTCCCTTCTCATAGGGAAGAGGCTGATTTCCTAAGGACCAGTGGAGAACTGACATCAGTTGCGGGGCCTAGGGTGAGTAACTTTAGTATTTCCGGAGAATGTTAAACATTGTTTAGGACATGCCATGAATGCTGGAGTAAAACAAGCAAAAACCAGGAAGCAGGGGAAAAGTGGACATTTGTACTTTTTCATGTGGGCTAGCATGAGGCTTGCTGCTGGGTAATCCACATCTGGCCAGGGCAGCTCAGAGGTATGTGCCCCACTGTACAGATGACAGCCAGGCTCAAAATGTAAGTATCCTGTACAAGGGCACAGAGTTAGGAAGCAATAAAAGCAGACATCTCAGGGGCATGGGAATGAATATAATCTAAAGTTTTAGTGGTGGTGGTGATCAAATCTACCTCACTACCAGTCTTTGCCACTTGATCAGCAAGTTTGGCAGGCACAAAGGTGCACACTAGCCTCCATATGTTCTGGCCCTGTACTTACTGTCATGCTCCTGTACTCATCCTCAAACATGTCCAAAAAAATCTCTTCTCCCTGCAAGGAAAAGAAGGGAGTGAAGAGAAGTTTACTCCTACCCCCATAAACATAGTACTCCAAATGCTGCGCTTAGCTTTTGAGGCCATCTGTTTTCCATTACAAGTTCTTGTAAATCACCAGAAAGTAAAATACACACGTGAAACGTGAGTACACACGTGTAGGTGAAAGGCCAAATATCAAAGTGCACTGCTCAACATTCTCCTCTTTGAAGGCACACTGAGCGAGAGTTCTTCTGTCAGATCACTTCATTAGAGCACAACAAAAATGGCATAATGTATAATTAAAACATAGACAAGGTTAATATTTCAAGTGCTTAACATAATTTCCTTCTCCAGAATGATTGGAAACGGGGAAAATGCTGGGTAAACGACCATGTTAAACATGTGAGGCCCATCCATTTCTAAGGGGAAGGACATGACTACCAATACTTAGCACTAAGATTATATTGCTTGCTTCATTTGTTTTTGAGGAAAGTCTTGAGGTTTGGTTGTTAGGGGTAATGACTGCCCAGGATTCCACCTTGGACAAAATTCAGCTCCTCCTGTTTTACTGTAAGAATGGGATGGCAAAGATGTTATGTGCCAGAAAAGGACAGGCTGGAGCCCATGTCTGTCAGGCCAAACTCTGTGAAGGCAAATTAATGCACAGAAAAGGCACGGCCCGAGTCTGCCAGTCAGTAGGGGCTTGGGAGACGTCAGTGCTGCTACTGTCTTGAAGAGTCAGAACCACTGTGTCTCTCTGGGACCCGAATAAAATGCAAATGCAGCTTCTCTTCTGTTTGGGACCAGGAAGTAGCTTTTGGGAAATGGCTCCTCTGTCCCTCTCTATGTTCACAACCTCAACATTTCCAACGGGTACACAGACTTAGAGCAGTTCTACTGGGAAGAGGTCCAAAGAAGAATAGGGCAGTCCCAGGTTTCTTCTTTCTTCTGGGCTAAAGAGGCTCACTGGATTCTTGCTTAAAAGCCAAGTGTGGTTCTCTGAAGGGCAGCTGGGATTTCCTCCCCAGAGTGTGGTGGCCCACAGTGGTGCCCCTTTGTCTGGGCATGTCTACAACTAGAGTTGATCAGGTCACCTGGTCCTGCCAAGGCAGAGCTCTAGATTACAGGACTGGGCTTTAGTGCAATTAGCTGACAACAGTGGCAGCAGGAGGGTGAGACAGCGCTGCCACTTCCCCTCTCAGGAGCTCAGGAGCTTTGTTCAGGGAAAGCAGGACCAGGATTTATAGAAACAAAAGATGAGCTCACTAGGGTCACTAGGATGACTAGCCATGCGCATGAACCCACTACAGCTGAACATCAGTGTTCTCCATGTGAGGATGTGGAGGGCGTAGGTGTGGAGGGTGTGTGTGTGGGGGGAGCGGACCCTCACTGCACACCCATCTGTCTTAATCTTTGTTTGACTTGGTGGTTTCTGAAAGGACTGCTGCCGATGGTGTTTTCTCACAGCAGCCCAACTCTGCTAAGGCCCAAGCTAAACTGTTAAAGCTTGATATCCTAAAGCAATCACTTGAGTCGGGCAGTGGTGGTGCACACCTTTAATCCCAGCACTCGGGAGGCAGAGGCAGGTGGATCTGTGAGTTCAGGGGCAGCCTGGGCTACAGAGCAAGTTCCAGGACAGGCTCTAAAGCTACACAGAAAAAACCTGTCTGGGAAAAAAACCTAAATAAATAACTAAGTAAATAAAAACTGAAAAAAAAAACCCCACAAAAACCAAACAAACAGAAAAACCTCCCCCCAAAACAACAGCAACAACAACAAAACCAAAACCACAAAGCAATTACTTGGAACCTGAAGATAATGTCTTTAAATCCTTCAGATCCTAAAGGTCATCTTACTAAACTCAAGATAATTTTTCAGACGCTTGCATGAGGCTTCTTAGCATGCATGTTTACACATACATTACACACGTATATAAGTAACAAAATCATGCATTACACAGGTATACAAGTAATAAAATCATAGTAGTTTTCTATGTATTAGGATACATAAGTCACAAACATATGACTTTGTCATACACATACATCTCACAAATTACAGTAAATTCACGAGTAACTGATAAACAAATTGCCATAAACTAGAAGTCAGTCCACAAATTTTTTATTGTTCTTATAACAAAACATAAAAAGTTTAGAGGCCACAGCTCTGGAGACTATGAAATCGAGCATGTGTGCTCAATATTCACAGGTGTAAAAAAAGAACTGAAGGGCTGACAAAATGGCTCATCAGGTAAAAGTGCTTGCAGTAAAACCTGATGACCCTAAGTTTGGTCCCCAGATTCCACATTGGAAGGAGTATAACAGCTCCTCAAAGTTCTTGTCTAACTTCTATATATACGCCTTAGAATGCACATATGCACATACTTATGAATGAATTCACAAGTGCACACGTGCACGCACACACACACACACACTGAAGATTGTGTATAGGACTAGACCCCACCATCCTATACTTCACAAGAGATACCCCATTCTACTGCTTCCCTGTGCTGCCAAGTACCTTATAGAAATGCCGTACAAGGTGGACACTCTCTTCTCTTGCACCCTGTTGAAAAAGAAGGAAGATGTGAGGGACACATACATATCTGAGGGGAAACGGTGGGTGACTTAGTTAAGCAGGGGAATAGGTTATTGAACACAGCTATGTCTCTGCTTTAATAAAACACAATATTACTTCACCAACGCGTGCATATATATGTGGGAGTGGATCAGAACAGACACATCCAAAGGTAAACCTCAGCTGTTCTTTTTCACCTCTGCACTGCTTACATTTTCTTCCTTTCTTCCTTTCTTTCTTTTTTACCCAAGACAGGGTTTCTCTGTGTAACAGTCTTGGCTGTCCTGGAACTCACTACGTAGACCAGGCTGGCCTCAAATTCACAGATCCACCTGCCTCTGCCTTCCAAGTACTGGGATTGAAGGCGTGTGCCACTACTGCCCGGCTCCTACATTTTCTAAAACTAATGAAGGGGAACAAAAGATGATAAAAGATACTGAGAACCCAGTAAATGTGTATTTTAGCACACACACACACACACACACGCCCACACGTGCACACACACATGCCCACACGTGCACACACACGCCCACACGTGCGCACACACACGCCCGCACACACCCACACACGCCCACACGTGCACACACACACACGCCCACATGTACACACACATGCACGCCCACACATGCACACACACGCCCACACGTGCACACACACACACGCCCACATGTGCTCACACACGGCCACATGTGCACACACACGCACAAACACACGGCCACATGTGCACACACACGTGCACACACACACGCCCACACGTGCACACACACGCACGCCCACACGTGCACACACACGCACGCCCACACGTGCACACACACGCACACACGTGCACACACACGCACACACCCACACGCCCACACATGCACACACACGCCCACACACATGCCCACATGTGCACGCACACACCCACACGCCCGCACACACACGCCCACACGTGCACACACACATGCACACACACGCCCACACACATGCCCACATGTGCACGCACACACCCACACGCCCGCACACACACGCCCACACACACATGCACACACGCACACACGTGCACACACACGCCCACACACGCACACACACGCACACACGAGCACACACACACGCCCACACGTGCACACACACGCCCACACGTGCACACACATGCGCCCACACATACACACATGCCCACACATGCACACACACACAAAACAATAAACCAAACCAAACTAAAACAAAAACACCCAACATGGTAAGTGGATACGTTTCTACATGTATAAAAGCTTTGTCACATAAAAGGAACATATGAAAACTTCTGGAGCTGATCCAGAAGTGGATTATTCCAAAAGAAGCTACTGCATTACAAGGATGTGGTCTGGAGGGAGGGAGGCATCTCTGGTCATGTGTAGGATCTTGGGAGTCACAGGTGTCTCAGGCCCAGCTTCTCTGAACTATGCGAGGGATGCTGTGGAACAGGCAGTGCCAGCAGCCTTGTAAATGATCTCCTCAGCTGAGGGAGAGCATAAGAAGGGAAGGGGAAGGCATGGACTCACCTCCAGACAGGCCAGATGCACATCCTTGATGACGCAGCCGGAGCTGGTCAGTACTTGCTGCTTCAGGAGCAGGCAGCTCAGCTCCAGTGTGGCCAACCGAATCCTGCCATCTGCAGAGCACACCAGCGTCAGCCCGGTACCCCAGAGCCTAGTGCTCACCCCAGGTACAAGAGGTCAGCCCAGTACTCCAGAGCCCAGTGCCCATCCAGGATACAAGGCTCTTGTTTTCCTTTTTTGTGGGTATTCATCACCTGAAAGACAGTCTTGCTCAAGGCTTCTTGTGTCCAGGGAAGCGCAGAGGGAGCTACACATGTCAACTCCCTTTCTAGTAGTTACAAGTCAACACGCCCTGGTAAGCCTTTTAGCTCCCATCTGTCCTGAAGTCCCTTTATCAGCTGAACCAGGGAAGGTGGGAGAAGATGGAAGGCTGTGCTGTAGCTGTGCCTGTCCAGCATGTTTCCCACTTCAGTACAGGTTCAAAACCAACAGCCCACTCTGGATCATGTAACTCAGTGGAGTTGAGCCTTCTCTCCCTTCTAGAATGAGTATATCACCTGTTAGGTCTCAAACTCAGGACAAGTCTCACTCAGCACGCCTCACCCCAACCCCTACCTAAACCTCTCCCTCCCAAGGGCAGGGCTTCCTTTCCTTTCCCCCAGCCCCATCCCTATCCCTATACAACAGCCATTTTGGCTAAGCTGGTCTCTTGGCTGAGGCCAGGGTCTCAAATAATGTTTTCAGGACTCTATGCTATGTTCTGGGTTGCTACTGGAAGCCATCTCTTTCCTCCTAGGGAAGACACCCATCACCCAGAGCAAGGCCAACTACTATTAAGCAAACTGTCCCATGGGTCTTTGCACTTTATCTAAGGAAAGGTAGAGGTGTAATAGTAGAAAGAGAAAGCAGAGAACCTCTGGGCCTTGTTCCTGAGGTCTTAGACCCTGGAGCCCAAGCACACGCTCCCCAGGGACATACCCCGAATACCAGCCCTTTTGCTAATAATGCCCTGTAGGTGCTGATGAACTAGATGAGAAGAAAAGTTTGTTCTTAGTTATATACATGCAAAGCAGGTCTTGCTTAGCATGACAAAAGCTCAGGGAAAGTGGTCCCTACTTACTGACGCAGCCCCAACCCACCTCCTCCAGACCTCCCATCCCCTCTCCATCCAGAGGTCTATGTGCATACTCCCTCTGCTGGTCAGCAAGCTCCTGCCTTCACAAGTGCAGGTCAAAGAGCAGACCCTATTCTTGGCCACAGCACAGCTCCCCTCAGTGCCCTAACCCACGTGGCTCCCACTGCACCCTGCAAAGCTTGCTCCAGACTGCAGCCCCAGGAAAAGGCTCTGCCTCCTTTAAGTGGAGCTCTCTGCAATGACTGACCCCAAGGAGTACGCGATGTCTTGAGTCACACTCTGTGTCCTAGGTTATCTCTTTTTCTTTGCTACCACTAGGTATGAACAGTGTCTCAAGGGCTCAATCCACGACATCCCTTTCTTCATCTAGACCTTTACAGACTATGCATGTTGTTCCCCAATGCTAACTTTGTCCTGACCTCTGAGTGTAAGACCCCATCTCCACAGTGACAGCTTTTGGGATTTGAAGACCATCAGTTGTGGCTCTTAGCTGGTATGTAGGTTACAATCAGAAAGCATCTATTCTGTGAATAACTGCTATGATACCTGCTGTCAACCTGAGGCCACTGATCTGGCTTTCCAGGTCCTTCTCCCACTTGGTAGCATAGCCACATAGTGTTCCAGTCACCACTTGACCAACTCTGGTTGACCTGGTCCAGGCTTACCACACCAGGCTGCTCTAACCATACTCTTCCCCACTGGGGCAAGCAGGTGGCCAGATTGTCCCCTATGCATTCTCTCATTCTAGTAACCTTTCTCCTGTCTCTGTAGAGAACTTGCCATGCAACTATTGACATTCCAGGCCAAGTAACTCTGTGCTGTAGAAGTCCTGTGCAACCTGATATATTTAGCAGTGTCCTGGACTTTTAGCCACTAGAGGCAGGAACATTCTTAGTCATTCAGCTTAAAATGTCTGCAGTCATAGTCACATATATCCTGAAGGAAAAGTTACCCTAGCTGGAAAAGCCGTGCTTAGAGCTTTATTCCATTCTGTCATTGCCTTAGTAGTCTGGCTGCACACGGGTGCTGGGTCAAACCACTGGAGACACTGGGCACAAGAGTGTACTTTCACTCAACCCTTCAAATGGGTTGCCCTCACTCTGAGTCACAGCCTACTTCATTCCCACAGTACGGCCTCAGGCTTCCCAGAGAGGAGGGTCCCAGCCATCACAAAAGCAGCAGAGTAAGGCTGGTGCAGAGAGAGAAAAGAGAGAGGGAGCTACAACTAAGGGTAGGGACAACCCCAGTGATAAAGTCCTGGGTCCAATAAAAGACAAATGCTGGTGGCTAGAGGAAAAAGAAAGGGGTGAGATTTCTCCACATCCAGAACCTAGGGCTCATGGTGCCTGGCTAGGGATCTAGCCTCTAAGACAGGGGTACCTGGTTGGGCAGCATTGTTCATGATTCTGATGAGTCTCTCAGCTAGCAGATGGTTGTAGGTGGTTTTCTCAACTGCACTTGGCACTGGGAGCTGGATTCGCTCCAGTTTTTCAGGATCCATGCCTAGAATGGAGAAAGAAGAGAAATGGCCATTGGCAAAGCTGCCTCAGTGAGCATCTTCTTCCTAAAACTTCAACGCCAGCCTGTGTTTCTTCTCTGTAAAGTGAGGCCTGGTCACTGCCTTCTGTCTGGGTTCTATGTACACTGAACATGCATAGATATAGCAAAACGTAAAATTTCTGGTGGTGGGGAGATGGTTCTGCTGGTAAAGTGCTTACTGCACTGGTATCAGGGCCCAAGCTCAATTCCCAGAAGCCATGTACAGTATGTGGCACATACTGTAATTCTAGTACTGGGGAAATACTTGGGGCTCACTAGTCAGAGAGCCTAGCCCAGTTGGTGAACTCTAGGCTAGTGAGAGACCTTGTCACAAAAACAAAGGGGGTGGTGCCTAAGGAAGACCCAAGGTTGGCTCCTAGCCTCCAAACACATGCATATGCTCACACACACGCACACAAATGCATGCATGTGCACAAAATCATACAAACCATATTATTTTTTATTGCCATTTGGTGTGATAACTAACAGTAACTATGAAAGCCAGATGGAACAGTGTTCTCACATTCTAGCCAATGACTGTTGACTGAACTCACTGGAGCCCAAGGCCTACTCCGTCTCTATTAGAAGCAAGGGCTGGCAAACGCTTAGCAGACAACAGTGGTGGCATCTCTGATAGATGAGGCAGAAGCAAAAAGGAGCAGCTTTCCCACAGAGCAACTTCATTGCTGCTCTCTACCACGTCTGTGTGCCACATAAGGGCAGCCCTCTGCTGGGCACTTTCTAGCCCTGCAGACACAGACACAGAGAAACAGAGATGAGACATATGAGGCTCCAACAACCACAACCTTAAGCTCTCACTGGTGAGCTCTCATGCTGGCGGCAGGCTCTGAGCTGAGTGGGGATGCCAGCCCTGCCCCTGAGGAATAGATCGGCAGAGAGGAGCCGAGTTAAACCTTTAGTCTAGGTAGGTGCACAAATAATAAAAATTCATAAAGCATATCTACCACTAAGACACCAAAAAAATTTTCCCCCTCAGGGGAAATGAATAATATTTATTAAAAGACAAAACAAAGGGTAGGGTGGAGGGTGGCTAAGGAAAGGGAATGGGTAAGTCTGTAGCCATAGGCCATGAGATTATTTTTCCTAAAGAACTGCCAGGAACTGAGATGGCAGGAAGACCTGCCAGCACTGCTACAATGGTACAGGCCCGAGGCAGCGCTCTGCTGACTCCTATCCTCTCATCTGACACAGTGCTTGAGAAATACTTGCAGAAATAAACACAGCGCTTGACCCAAGCAAGGAGACCCCTGTGGATTGTTTATGCCTGAAGCATAGTTTTTCCTGTTATTCTAGTTGGGGGAGGTGGCACTCTCAGAACTCTTGAAATGTGGTCCCTTGAGTACCAGGTGAGGCTTTGTCTAGAACCTTGATGAACAGTGGAGGAGGCACAGCTGGTTCCCGAGGAACCCCTGCTCTGTGGGTGCACAGCACTGGTGCCTTAAAGCAGTATTCTGCTTTGTTGAAATGACTTGGGCAGGAAGCAATAGCCTCTCTCATGCCCACAGTGTGGCTCTGAAGCTGAACATGTAGATTCTGCATTTTGATGCCAACTGTCCAACTTGGAAGAACTCTGAAGTACATAGTAAAAATGGCAATCCAAATTTTTTGGCCTTTACTTTCCTAGAGGTATCACTCCTGTCCCAATATCTCTCTTTCCTTCCATTTGAGGGGTGGGACATACAGGGCAGGACTGCTGCTCTATGGCTCTGAGCAAAGCTCTGGCTGCCCTTCCTCCCTAGCACACTATACCATCAGCTCCTCCAGTCCACAGAGGTGGAGCCTCCTAGATAATAGGCAAGCTGGAGTCAGAGCTTGAGTTTCCATAGGGAGGCCCTTTGTTTTTTTCCTGGGATTTCTCTAGCTTTCCTTAGACTTTCTGAAACACGAAGAGATCTGGGGCAAAATCTTCCAGAGACAGGAAGAAATCCCTCTGAGGTCATTTTGTTCTTTCTTGGCTATCTGTCAGGGGAGGATCCCAGAGCCCTGAACCCCTCACTCTGGTCCACACAGTATATCAAGCATGCCTTTGGCGAAGAAATTGAGGCTCAGTGTGATGGTCATAGAGCATGCTGAAGGCAGCAGGGTCACCTTTAGATGACTCCAGAGGTGACTGAAATCCAGTTAGGGAGGGATAGTGGCACCACTCATATGGGAAGCTCACTATGAAAGCCACATTCAAGGGGCTGTGCATTCCAGGGCTCAGCAACAGTCACCACCTCCAACCAACCAAAAGCTCAAGCTCTATAGGCAAAGATAGAATTTTCTGGAGGAAGGGTAGGATCTTATTATAAAGACGGTCTTCCTAGTGCCTGCACAAGAAAAATAATGCATAAAAATAAGTCTTCATAAAGTGAGTTCAAAAAAAAAAATGTTTGCCCAAGGCCACAAAGGTAACAAAAAAATCTGGAGCCAACTCCATCTTCTGTCTTTCTGGCCCATATCACAAGATCCCTGCTCGTTAGTTCTTCCCTCTTCCTGTCCAAAGTATGTGTGCCATGCTATTTAGCAGGGTTCTCAACACAAAATCCTCTGGGTTAGATCTTAATGGAGTTAACTATTTTATTTTTGAAAAAGGTCTCACATGTACCCTAAGACCGCCCTACACTTGTTTATGAGGCCCAGGCTGGCCCCTCTCCACCTTCCTGAGCATAGTAAGAATTACAGTTATGTGTCACCACACCCACTGCATTAACGCATTTTATTATATGAAATTTTTAATTATATTTATTTATGGGGATATAGGTAGAGCAGGCAGAGGACAATCTATGAGAGTTGGTTCTCTCCCTCTACTATGTGGGTTCCTGGGGATCAAATTTAGGTTGTCAAGCTTGGCAGCAAGTACCTTCATTTGTTGAGTCACCTTGCCAGATTTAATTTTAATCAAATATGGCCTACTACAAACAAAACAAAAACACAACCAAAGAAACAAAAAGGTTCTACACTATGACAACTGAATAGAAGAAAAAGTTATCACAGAAGCAGCTGGAGGAAACAAGAGCCTAGCAGTTTGTGAGCTGAGCACAGTTCAACCGTATGCCAGGGGACAGACAGCATTCGGTGACGAGCACTGCATCACCACCACCATTCTTTGGAGGCCAGGTGTGGAGACGCACTTGATCTGGGATTTTAACTACCTGACTAAAAGAAAATACTGGCTGACAGTGGTGAAGAAATAAGGTGAACTCCACTTAACTAGATGGAATTACAGATGAGGGTGTGTCTGGGAGGGTGTTTCCATGGAGCCTGAACAGAGCACACAGATTCCTCCTCAGAAGCATCACTCTGCTTCCAGACTGAGGATACAATGTGACTTGTTGTTTCATGCTCCAGCCACAGTGGACTGTGTCCCTCTAAAACATGACCCAATATGACAGGGACATGTATGTAAAAGGTAAGAGCAACAGATGTGACACGTATGCACCATAGTTTTCAGTTACAGAAAGGCAGGTTCTGTGGCAAACACGTTACACCTTCATTTTGCTCTGTCTGAAATAAGCCTCAGGAATAATATATTGTCCTATGTGCTCAAATCTCAAGTGTCTCAAAAAAATTTCCAATGAAACCCTCACACGCAGCATATAGCCAATTGAGATCTACCTCCCGGCAGGCCATTTGCTTCCTCATTCCCTTCCTGCCAATGGTCGGTATGGTTGGAGGGACTTGAGTTCATAGCCTAGGCTGGTCCAAAGAGTCCATATTGCTGCAGAGTGTCACTTCCAATGAACTAATTCAAAGAATCCAGAAGAAAAAGGGAAGGCATGGTTCCACACTGCAACCAGTGACTAAACCTCCCTCCCAACTCTGATTTCTGGATGCTTCCTTCTTAGCTGCAGTGCTTGCTCATGCCAAGGTTGGAAGACACCCTTAGCAAAGATATTTATAGGAGGCCATGGAGACCTGACCCAAGACTAGAAGGGAGCAGGTAAATATATCCACTAGTTTTCTGTTTCTTGTGACCCCCAGGTTCTCCCAAGCTGTACCCTGTAGGCATTCTCAGAGGTGGAACACTTTAGGCCAACTATGCCGAGAACCCAGCAGATGTTAAGTCAATTTCCAATGTGCTTCCCATGCTGAGCTTCTGGCAGCTGCAATCTGGGTGGTGCTTGCTGGTCCTCATGCCTAGAACTTTGTCACCTACTTTCTAGCTTTCCCTTACCTCTTGTGCTATTCCAGGAACTTCTCAACAAAACAAAACAAACCCCAAAGTCCAAGCGCCTCCTGGGTAAGCAGCTGGGGCTGGGGAGAACAATGAGTGAACTGGAAAGGCTTAGGCATACAGAGCTGCTCTGCACACAGACTCCACTCAGACTTGACCAAAAGCGCAGACACTAACCAGAATTCATTATGTGGCTGACTGAATCATGACACTGCCTTCCTCATCAGGCAACCCTTCCCACTGTGGGCTGCTCATTTCAGTGCAGTATCTCATCTATTAAGATTTACCGGAAGGTCTGAGCTCACATTTGGTTTCTATTAACAAAGCTTTTAGGCTGAAATTGTCTTATAAGGGAAAAAATATCTACTAAGAAGAGAATATCTTGTTCGGGACCTGCTTCAGGGGAAAGGATATGGAGAAGAGAAGCTGGAATCAAGTGTAGATAACCACCAGAAAGCCAGCCAATCAAACAGCTACCATTCAAAGTCACCAAAGGCAGCCCCTGTGCTCAGTGGCCAGGGTGGCACACCAAGTGTAGTAGCTTCTCTACCAGCAGCTTCCCCAAAGAACTGGCCTCCGGCGTCAAACTTGAGCTTTTCCCATTTCTCTTTAATTTGCCTCTCTAAATGGTCCATTTCCACTGGCTTTGAACATTATTTGCCACAGAGAAAAAGGAGTCAGAAGTCAGTCATCATCCAGATCTCTCCCACCCACATCAAAAGGAAGACCTATTCCCAGCCTTGAGCCTCTCCTGTCTTCCCTTAGTGACTGACATTAGCACAGGGTA